TTTTTTTTTTTTTCTTTTTTTTTTTTTGCTTCGCAAAATCAATTTTTTGAACTAAACAGAGTGGAACAAAAATGTTTTTATTTGGTTTATACCGTATCCAAACGGGAACAATTGATTTAGAAGAAGAAATTTGCAAGCAGAAAAAAAAAAAAACTCGTCAAAAATGCTGTCATCGTTTTATAATGTTTGAAAGATTTTTTAATTTTTCCTTTTTTTTTGCAAGAATAGCAACAGCAGCAATAAAAAATATCAGTATAAGCTAAACACAAAATTGAAGTATGTTTAATTTTTGGCTGCTTTGTTTTAACGTTTTAGCCGCAGATATTCACATTTGGTTGTTCACAGTTCATACTGCACCGCACAGCCAAACAACAAAATATTTGTTTCATGTAGATTGATGAATAAATTGGTGGTGAACACAGAAACTGACTGTACCGGTTATAAGTTTGTAAGCATCTTTGCTGACAACACTGAATTGTTGAATGTTCATCGTTTATAGACAACAACAAATATTTGGTCATCATCACCTGTGATTCAAATTCATTTATCACTCTCCTCAAAAAGTGCACATTATTTTTCAGAAAAATTCCAACATAAAACTGCTGACTGCACCTGTATTATGTTTGTAAACAAAACAGTTGAATAAACGTTACACTATCATTTGCTCATTCTGTACTTCCGTTATTTCAATTTTATATTTTCTGTATTTTTTTTTTCAGACACATATCTTCGGCATATACAGCTATACAGTATTGGTTTTCATTAAAAAAAAAATATTTAGTTCAGTTTCCAGTTTTTTTTAGTTTAACGCCAAACAAAAATCTGGTAGTCTTTTCTCTTTTTTTTGCGGAAGAAAGAGTTAAAAATTTATTCAAAAATAGACAAACATGATAAAGATATATTAGCGACAAAAATCACTGATTAATTACTTATTTAAAATGACACATAGATTTGATAGATGATTCTCTTTTTCTGTTTTTGTCTTTTACATCCGATGTAAAATCTGTTAATTAGCGTATCCGACAACAAATTATTGTGAACTTTACATTAATCCATACAGTCCTTAAGCTCATTTTTCTTTCTGTGACAGTAACTTTTGAACAGTGATGCAACAAATTTGACAGAAACTATTGATAACCATAGTAAAAAAAAAGACCGAATAACTAATAGTGATCTTTGTTGCTCTTTCTTTCCTCTTTCGTGTCTTTGTTTTTTTGATCAACTAAAATAAACTTTACCAAAACATCTTTGGTAACAAGAAAGCCAACTTTTTTTCCTTTTTTTTTTGCCGACAAATGTCACATATACAAAAATCATATAAGCCCTTCCTCCTAGCGAAAAAAAAACTTAGTTAATTAATAGCCATTATAATTTTGGCACTGTTAATCTCGGTTAAGCCGTCATAAATACATCTTTTGCAGATAAGATTTATTCCCAACTATAGCCTTTTTTTTTCGTTATACGAAGAAACTGCAAAAAAAAAAAAAAATCTGCAAGTTTTCCACTAATTTCATCCAGCAGCAACCACAAATTTTGTATTTTCATCTGCAATAACCGCTTAAATCCTTTTTTTTTTTTCTTTGTTGTTTTAGAAAAATACATCTTTTTTCACCAAACTATTTGACGATTTGTATGTGGGCCAGGCAGTGTGTACATTTTTAGATTTTAATGCACCGTGTGTGAATTTACACTCATTTTTAATGCCGAACATTTTCCTCTGCGGTATCCTATATCCTACTATAATGATCAGAAATTTTTTTTTGTTTTTATCATACAAAACAATAAAAATTCTGTCTGTATTGTTTCATCAATGGAACTTTAACAATACAGCATATTGCCGCAAAGTTATTGCAAAAAGGATAAGAGGAAATAAATATGAAACAAGTCATAATAAAAGACTCTTAACAAAAAAAAACCTCTGAAT